ACATCGGAACGTCGAGCGACTTGAGCCAGCGCTGCTTCGCCGCGACGTCGTCGAGGCTCTCGGCGGGCGCGCGCGCAGTCATCGCCGCCTCGGACACGGCCGAGACTACCTCCACCTCGCCGAGGGAGTCGACCTGGGGGGGGGGGGGGGGAGGGTGTGGGGGAAAACTTCTACCACACGCAGACACACTCACACACACACGAGGGGGGGGGGCAAAGGCCGGGCAGCCCTCGCGGGGCCACGTCTAAAAGACGGGAGCCCCACGGCACTCAACGTGCAAGGCCCGGCGTGCGTGCGCGTGCGCCTGCCCGTGCGTGCGCCTGCGTGCCTGCGTGCGTGCGTGCGTGCCTGCGTGCCTGCGTGCCTGCGTGTGTGTGTGTGTGTGTGTGTGTGTGTGTGTGTGTGTGTGTGTGTGTGTGTGTGTGTGTGTGTGTGTGTGTGTGTGTGTGTGTGTGTGTGTCCCCCCCCCCCTGTGTATGTGTGTATGAGAGGGTCTGTGAGCCCACCTCCCCCCCCGCAAGCCTAGCCAGCCAGCTCGGTGCCGCCCCCTCCGCCGCATCGCCCTCCGCCCCCTTCTCCGTCTCGCGCTCCTCCGCCACCGCCGCCGCCCACGCCTCCGCCGCCGCGGCGCGCGCCTCCGCCTCGACCACCTGATCAGTTCACAGCTGCAGGTGTGAAGAGACGCTGTTCACAGCCTCCGCCTCGACCACCCCAGCAGCTCGACACAGACACACACGTGTGTGCTGTGAAGTCTACATCTCTTCACGTCTCCCCACATGCGCATGTGCACATGCACATGCACATGTGCATGTGCATGCACATGCACACATCTCCCCACATCTCCCCGCACCTGGTCTTGAGCAGCTACATCTCCCCGCATCTCCCTACATCTCCCCGCATCTCCCCGCATCTCCCCGCACCTGGTCCTTGAGCAGCTCCGCCGCCGCAGCCTTTGCCTCCGCCGCGGCGACGCGTTGCGCGAGCAGCGCGTTCTCGTGCGCAGCCAGGTTGTTCATCCACTGCTGCACCTACTCTCGGCGAATCTCGGCTGATCTCGGCTGATCTCGCGTGATCGCGGCGAGAGCTGCTCCTCCACTGCCGCACCGCCGACGGCTGCAGCGACGCCGCCATGTCCATGCCAACCTAGAGGCACGTGCGCCGGAGGAGAGGTGAGAGGCACCTCCTCGCAGACGGACGCCGCAATCCACACGCCAACCGGCTCACGGCTCGAGTCCCTGCGCGGAGCAGGCGCCGCCGCCGCCGCCCCCGCCGCCGCCCCTCCTCCTCCGCCTCCGCCTCCGCCGCCGCCGCCTCCGCCCGCCGAGCTCGGAGCCGGGCGGCCGTAGTGCGGCGGAGGCATTGCGGTTCCGTAGTTTGGAGGCGGCATCACCCCGCTCCTCCCTCGCTCGCGAGGGTGGGTGGCGGCGGCCGCGCCCTTCTCGGCCGGCTCGACGACTCCGCTGCCTTGCAGTGTCAAGACACCCCGGGGGTCGGGGGCGCGAGTACGGTCAGGGGCGGGGGCGGGAGAGGACGGTACAGCAAACAGCGGGATGCGGTCGAGAGCACGCGCCCTCTCTCGCGCGCGCTAGTCGGAAGACGGGTGCGTGTGCTCTAGGCTCCGATGAGGCTGCGCCGCCTGCGCGGCCTCGCTGCCGGCCGCCTCCGCCGGCGTGGTCCGACGGGGCCGCCGGCGGCTCTTGCTGCGGCCGCCCCCTCTGCCACGGCTGTTGCTGCTGCTGCTGCTGTTGCTGCTGCTGTTGCTGCTGCTGTTGCTGCTGCTGCCGCTGCTCCGTCGCTCGGCGCATCGGGTCCATCCGCTCGCCTGAGCTCGCGCCAACCTCGGTGAGACAACCTCGGTGAGACCTCCCGCGTGATCCAGCGTGGGCGCAGGGACGAACCCCCCCCCCTCCCATCACACCTCGCGCGTTTTGCTCGCAGGTACTCTCCTCTGATGAGTAAGGCCACGCCCCGTTTCTCTGGGTGGCGCCCCCCGGGGGACCTGAACGGGAAACCGGCCCCCGCCTGACCGATGCGATGCCTCCCAGGGGCTCCC